CGAGTCGCGACTAACGGCAAAACTTTCCGGCTTAGAGAACGTACTACTGAACTAGATAGTACCTAAGAAGTGTGTGTCTAGCAAACAGAGATATTATATTAAGGGGAGCGGTTTTAAAACGATCACTAGTTAAGTTACCCGTAAATTGCTCTATGTATTTATTTTCTTCTTGAGAAAGGTAGTATCGTTGCGTACTACAAAATAACCGCTTTTTTCACCTAAAATTAAATTATAAGTTTTTTTAACATAGTATTTAATTTTTAAGATTTAATTATGTAATTTGGAAACATGTTATAGTTAAAATGGTTTTGTATAGAGTAACAGTTGTAAATTAGATTAATTTCTCATTCACGCATCTTTCTTTCATGAGCGTCTTTTCATTTTCACCGCGGTTGTTCGGAAGCTATTTAGCTATAAATCCTCTGTTTGTTCCTAGTTTTAATCAATTTTATTTTGTGTTATGTTCTGTTTCTTGTTTTGTGACTATTAAGAATATTTGTATTCTATTGTATTTGTATTGTGTTGTAATATAAAGTTTAACTAAACAAACGTTACCTTTACCCTTGGCTGTGTCACACGAAGCCCAAGGAGTTATTTAACAAGATAATAAATGGTTTAGTCCTTCGAACGAGATGCCACGGTACTGCCACTGTACTGACCTTGCATAAATATTAATGCGCAAACGTCTAGAGATTATTATGATGGAAGCTTCCTTTTGTCCTTAAAGGCTGTGATAAGTGATGTGTCCCTTACTTCATTGTTTATAATTATTATGTTAGGAAAATGAGATATTAAATGCTCAATGTATTGTCATTGTACATTAGGTGGGTCTAGAATTTATAGTATCCGTAGCGTGGAGCTTACAAACTGAGTCATCACGTCCTTCTGGTCCTCATAGACTTTATTCAAATCATATTATGTACGTGCAATCTTTGAAAATTTAAATATTTTCTACATATTGCACACGATGGCACTATATAAATCAAAAATCGATTATACATTGAATAAAAAATACTTACCTTGATTTTAAAAAAATTCAATCGATTTTTAATGTACGTGCAATCTATAAATAGGTATACTCTGTGGTTATAGATTCTAGTCTCGCCCGAGTAAAATAGCATATTAGAACTGCTGAGTCAGTACCTTATAGGAGTGTCTCCATTGTGGATATGACACGGAAGTGGCGAAAGATGCAAATTTAACTGCAATGTTTAACGGTAAAAGTGAATTACGTCCAGCTTGTTATCGCGCATTGGTTACATTGTTTTCCCATAACAATGGCGGGCGTTTTCATTTGGATTGGGAAATAAATGCTTCAGGTTAACCCGCTTTTAACCCATTTTATGAAGTGATGAGAACACGTTTTGCAATTATGCAATTCTGGTAATGCCAGGTAAAAATGCCAGTTCAATCACAGAATATATTCCAGTAGAATATAGTAGTGAGCATATTTTAGAGTCATTAGAGAATAATGTTGAGTTCTAACTTAATCTTATAACAAAAGACAATCGACCCTGCTTACGAATGAACGAAAACATATATAGCAAAAAGTCGACGACTGTCGTGTACTACTTGAGGTAGATTAATATTTATATTTTCACTAGGAAGCCAAGCCCTACCTATATACATTATTAAATCCTATTTTGTACGACATCAGTTCTACTATGAAGAACTTAATACTTCCAAAAAGCGATATACAACATTTACAACTTAATCAGATATCAGCGTGGTTTAATTTTTTGTATATCATAGATTTCCACTTACTTTTCTCCTCTTTCATAAATATCTAACTATAGACTTGGAAATAAAATTCCGCGGATAGAACTCAGAATTCAGTTAGAGTCTAACAGCGTAGCAGGGAAATTTCATTGATCTGGTAACGGATATCAAAAGATGTCGACTGCGGTTGAAACTGTCGTTTCGTGTTATCGCACCGGTAAAACAATTTGCTTACGACACCAAAGAAAGCTCACAGTCTACCTGAAACTCCGGTTTTATTTAACATTTGCTAGAAATGCATTTTTGTTAGTAACAATTCACAAATTAAATAAACAATAATTATGTAGGTATTTGAAAGAAAAAATAAAGTTTTAAATTTCCGTTACTGGGTTACTGTCATTGATTATTACAATCTTAAGCAGCTTTTTTTTTTAATTTATTTAAGTAACGTGCGAAAATCATATGGATTCAAGGATCACCCACTTATTCAAATAATATGCAAATACAGCTATAAATATTTAGTTGTTAAAGCTGTTGAAAAAGGTAAAAATACTGTAGATATATGTTAAATAAATGGTAGGTTAAATTGGATGGGATAATACGTTTTTGCCACCTACGGGCATCGCTTAAAATTGAGTAAGAGGAAAGCTATATAACCAACTGTGATTTCTAGATATTCCCTACCTACCACCAACAACTACTTTTACTCACACTTAAGAAGATATAGAATGACATGCGCCCATTAATGCAGAAACAAATATAGTTTACTAGAAGACATTGGACAGTGTCTTTTTTTATTTAGCCTTCCTATATTGACGTCTTATTCCTTCTAAATCTTTTTGTTCCCAAAGAGAGGGTTAAAGCTAGCACACGAATTAAATCAAAAGCCTTACTGTTAATTAGCAAGAGTACTTCAGCAACAAGTCACTTGAGTGGGTAACATAACTATTAACGAAAACATTCATCCCTTTGAAAAGGATCGTGGTCATGTTAAATTCAAGATGTGTGACCGTGGGTTTGCATTTCAATTTCAACTTACTCTCTACTAGCTGTGTCAGCGACTTCGTCCGCGTAGAATAGTTATTATGGGCAGTAAATTTGTTTTTGCGACGTCAATCGCGTCGCGTGTTTGCAAGTGAAACTTAAAAGATAGACATATAGTGTTGCAGACATTTTTGTGATCATTTAAAAAGGAATCATTCTGTCCTACATATTTTTGGGTATCATGAAACGTTTTTGCAGCGTACGCATCAGAAACCCACAAAGATGAATAACGTTCCCCGCTTCCTAATTTCCCGCTATTTCTTCTCTCCTATTAGTCGCAGCGCGATAAATCTTCCAACCAACACAAAAAAAAATTCAATTCCTGAGATTAGCGCGATCAAACTAACAAACAAACAAACTCTTCAGCTTTATATATTAGTATAGATAGATACATACGGCATACATAATACTATGTACGTAATTCAAAATTATAACTCGGTAGATAAAAACTACTTCTGCAGTCAAGTAGCCGATTAGTAACTTAGATTACGAGGTGACGGTTTCGAATCCAGGAGAGGAAATACTTCTTTGCTATTTGAAATTATCTCGAGATTTTAGAAGGTGTCAACATCCTTAAGTGAGCTCGTTAGCCGTCGTTCCCGGTTATCATTACTAATTTATTTTCAATGGTCGTTTAAGTCCGCCAATGATTCACTGTTGATGTGAGATTGAAGACCTTTGCCCAGCTATGGGACACTAAATGACAACAACTAGGTATGTATTATAATCGATACTATTTACAATAAAAACTAGTATTTAGATTCAGTATCGAAACAATTTTCACAGTACCCTAACATTTCCATTCTAAAATATCTCGCCTTTTCAAATATACAGTTGCAAAGTATAAGTTTTCTTCAGAAAATGTAAATATTTTCGCCGTTGCATAGCAAGTAATAGTTTGTAAATTTTTGGTTCTGAGCAGGATCATTTCATACTTAGGATTTTAGATTAAATGTAATCTACGAGGATTTAAAAATGTTAAATCGTAGACTATTAAAAATAAATAATTTTTCTAACATCCCATCCTTTTCTACCCTTATAAAAAACATTAGGTTTGTTAAGTATGTGAGATTTTTTTTACTTCAATCAGTAACCACTCTTAAATGTGATTGATTATTCTTCTCGTATCTTTGACCGCTAGAATAAATAAACGTTTTTATGAATGTAGTGTGTACGGATAAGCGTAGACATACTTTAGGGCATATATTCACATTTCAATAAAGAAGCCCACATCACGGAGTGAATAAATTATTTGAAATACGAATCGACGCGACGGTGGTATACGGAATCTTCTATCACATTTTTGCAACTATGTACGTTATTCGGACTATAACGACGCGATTTTTTTTAAATAGTGAAGAAAGTGTAAAAGACGTCAAACTTATACTTAAGTATATTATAACACTTTATTTCTTAAACGATTTTAAGACAATAAAACATTATTTTCCCATAACAATTTATATCTATTTCCATTTAATGTTTTGTAAAATGTAACTATATCAAAATTCAAAAATGTATATATAAAATAATATGTTGTTATAAATTGTGAATCTATAAAAACTTTAAATATGGGATCCCTATGTATATGGCTTACGTATAAACTTCTCAAATAAAGCCTTTGAATGAGCGCTACGAAGATTGTAACTCAATCGAAGCTGTATGCTACGACTTCAAAGTCTAGTATAGTATTAAGAGTCAGTTAATAAATCATATAACCTTAAGTATAACAAACATTTTTTCGCCTATTTCAAATGCTTATTAAATTTTTGATTTATGAAAATAATTTCTAAATTATTGAATAAAACATGTCTGCTTAAATGTAGAAGTTTTGAAGTCGAACTAAACACTATTAAAATAAATGTTAATTCCAATATTTCAAAAAATTTCGACGTGAACTGCAAGCTAAAATAAACTATAAATAATTTCGGCGATATTCTACATCATAGGTGCCCAACCCCGCGGCGGGGCATTTGACAGACGGGTTTGGCTTGCTAGGATTTGAGGTGACCCGTGACCTTCACTCACCTACGACTCCGAACATTGTCCACTATCGCAGGCCGCTTTGGGGCGCGCGGCCATTTCTTCCTTCACAGGTATGTCATCACCACGCTACGCCATTCACTGCACGTCACTCATATTATAGCCGGGGTTGCAACGCGACGAGCGTACGCCCTCTCAGCACTCTCTCCATTCACTGAAAGGCCCGGGCCGCGGCGCTACGCGCAGACTCGGATGCCATGGTACAGGAGAGCCCTCTGCTCTCCTTTCACGGGTACGCCTCAGAGGTCAGAGGAACAAACGTGTGTCGTGACCATAAATAAGTATACTCCGAGTTTGGTTTAATTTATGTTGAGTCTCTGCGACAGGTTGATATTTAAGGCCCTTAAAACATTCCAATACAGTCGCTGTCTATTCATAGTACTAATGAAACATAGAACAATAAGTAGTATTATACCTATATAGACAATAACACTGCGTTTAATACTTCACATTAAGAGAATATTCATTTAGGTTGTAATATCATTCCTACAATCAAAAATTACTAAACGAATTTAGATGAAGCGTAACGGACACACATATAGCAAATACCTTCGTTTTTATCTTTGCTTTAAGAGAAACTAGAATAATCTTTTAGTTTTTTGTATAACATTTAAACCGTTCTACAATGAAAGAGACAATTTTTTTGAGAATGACCATTCAAGCGGTCAAATTAAAAGGGTGACTTGGTTTTATTGTAAAAAATCTATTGCCCGGGAAATAAATATGTATTAATCATACTCGTAACGAGTATTTAACATGTATAATATACAAAAAAAATGCTGAATTTTCCTTTGATGTACATAAACTAAAGCTCTTATGATAGATGTCAAAGACTATGGTGCAAAAAATACGAATATTATTTTTTTTACAAAATACTCCTGACATACTCAAATATGATGTCACATTCATGGATTTTCTTTTTTTGTTGAATGAAAAAAGTATCATCGGTCATTAACCCTGAACACAAACAAGATCGACAAAATAACTTTGAAGATGTTGTATACAAATACTGTTAAAAGCGCCACCTAGCAGCGATTATTTGGACTTATAATTTTTTAAATTTGATTTTGTAGTCATTTATAAGTCCATAAACTGTTTATAATATCAATAACAGTCTTAAAGTAATAAATAAAATATTGTTATTCAGTATTTATTATTAATTCAAGATAAATCAAAGTGATAAATAATGTTTGGGACGGTCTGAGGTAGAGTTGCCAACACAAAAGATATTCAAGAAGAAACAAGTCAATGCACTTACACCATACGTATTATTTAATTTATACGTCTAAAATCCGTTGAGAAATTATATTAAAGAAAAACAGAACTACATAATCTTACAGTGCGTAATATTAATTAAATGTGATTTTTTATTGTCGTGAGTAATTTAAAGGTATAGTGGGCAAATCGCTTTACAAAGTTGGCAACACATATTATAAATGTCTTTTTTGATTCGATTCTTTGCCGTGTCGATTCGGGTAGGTTTTTAATCCATAAAAATCGTCGTTAAAGTGCGTTTTTACTACAAATAATTTATATTTTTACTTCGTTTGTTAAACAAATATCTTAAAGTTATGACTATTTTAAGAAAATATGTAATTAGTGCTTCAAATAAACATTGCCAAAGTTTGACATCGCTCACGCACAATCGGTAACCTATACTACGACTTGTGGAAGTAAACGTGTTATTTGGATTTCAGCGAAGACTACCAGTATGAAGTACAATAGGCTGGTAACTTCCTCCAGGAGGAAAAACAGGAAGAGGCACTTCAGCGCTCCTTCCCACATCCGAAGAGTTCTTATGTCCTCACCTCTGTCTAAGGAACTCAGGCAAAAGTTTAATGTCAAATCAATGCCTATTCGCAAAGACGACGAAGTACAGGTGAATATTTTACAATTCTGATATGCTGCTGTATGTTTTTCATACAATGTTAGGGTTTACATTGCAAAACAATATGATGAAGACAAACCATTCTTAGACCACGGATGTTTGTTGTATCTGGATTGGTGGACTAGAGGTTTTCTCTTGTTAACCTTAAAGGATTACAACTTGTCTGTGCCATGGTGTAGTTATGGCTCTGATTGTTTTGCTTAAAAGCACATGTTTGCAAGTTAACTCAAAATGTAAGTACTACAGAGAATAATTCTTATTAAATGATTAATATGCATTGTGAAAAGTTAATAGGATCTATAAATTTAATTCTTTATTTATGCACATGTACTTGCCGACTTACACTTCAAACAAATATACATTATTAATAAGTATATACCTATATTATAGAATGTCATGCCTTGTAATTGCCGTAGATGATTCAAAAATAGTTATATTTGCGTGACAGGTTGTACGTGGTCACTACAAAGGACAGCAAGTTGGAAAAGTAGTCCAGGTATACAGAAAGAAGTTTGTTGTCTACATTGAAAGGATTCAGCGGGAAAAAGCCAATGGTGCGAGTGTATATGTTGGCATTCACCCTTCAAAGGTGAGTTTCTTTTATGTCCACATACTTAAATAAAAAAAAATATGTTGATACATACTTGATAAGCTCATTGTTCTTCTATTAGCAACATATGGCTAATAATCAATTTATATTTTCTCGTCATATTAAATGGGCAGTAAGAGAATTGATATTCTATGTGGGATGTGGGAAGATGTGAATCTTGTTGAGATGTTATGTGGCCGGGGTATTTCACCTTTCATCAAGTAAACTCCATGAATGTCTGTCCTCTTCTGTCTATCTGTCTCTGTGTCATCTTCTGTGTATGTAAGAAATAGATAAAATAAAGAATTACAATAAATGAATAATACACTGAGCTTATCTATCCATATGTTTTGAGACTCTTAAAAAAATATATATTATGTGGTTATGTTTCTTATTACCATTGTTTGAATTTAAAATGAATTTGCTGTTAATAAATACTAAAGTATAAATTTACCATCATCTAAAAAAAGTTAATATGATGACAAACTTGATACTAAGGCACTATCTATGCTACAGATTGGTGTGAACCATTCTGGACTTGATAGTGTGACTGCTGAGACACTTCCATGGCTCTGATTTCTCAATATAGATTTAGTTTTCAATTTTTTATGTTTAAATAAATTTGCTAATTTGAATTATTTTTTTCAGTGCGTGATTGTGAAACTAAAAATGAACAAGGATCGTAAGTCGATCTTAGACCGTAGAGCTAAGGGCAGATTGGCAGCACTTGGCAAAGACAAGGGCAAATACACCGAGGAAACTGCAACAGCAGTTGAGACCTCATAAACATAGGTTTAAGAACAATAAAAAAAATAAAAAGTCCTTTGTTTTTAATTTTACTGATTTCATTAAAACAAATTGAAGAACAATCATTATATTTGCAGTTTTTAATCTATGCTAGTATTATAGTGAACTTACTACTTCTGTATCATTAGATACAGAAGTAGTAAGTTCTCTATAATACTAGCACCAACACCTGAGTAAAATATATAATTTAATTGACAAAATTAGCCATATCTACTTATTTTTTTATATAAACACTAGCGGCCCTGTCACGGCTTAGCACGGGTAGACATAAACTCGCTCGTTCAGGAGCCGCTGCGAGCGTTCACGAATTCCTAGCTCTATTTCCTTCAAGTCGCTGCGACGATCTTGCATTCTTCTGCAAGAAGAACCTGAATATTCGAAAATAGAGTCTCTGGGACGCGTACACTAGTACTTTCCAGACGATCATTTTAGGAAGAACATTCCAATACGACGAACTTTTGCGAATCGCGCTTGGAAACGATTCTTAGATAGCTGCGACTCTTCTTCTAGGTATATTGCTATGAAGGATGTTTATTTTAAATCAGAAATTAATTCTAACTAATAATAATACAAAAGAGAATAATCAAGTTCAAAGCGATAGTTCTGAAAAGAACTTTGACAAATATTATGCAAAGTGTGATTCCTAATACTAAAAGTAAGTACCTCTGAAAAATAACTTTTTAAGTGAAGCATAAAAATGTTAAACGAAAACTCGAATTATTCAATGTCGTTGGCGCGCTCCTTACGCAGAGCCCACTGCCCCTCTATCGTCGAATTAGCTATTCGATGCGCAGCGTGGTGGCCGCCACCGGCATGTATTTTTATTTTAATTTCATGATATTATTTGAATGGCATGTCCGATTTCAATAATTAAGAAAGTAATCATCAGGACAGTCTTGAATATTAAATTATTTATTTGGATAAAAATTTATAAACGGTATGGATAACACGGTCTGATTTTGATCGGCATTTCTATCAATTTGTTGAATGCAAAAAAGTAGTTACAGCGACGTAACTACAATAGTTAGACATATGCTCGCGCGTTTTTTGAAGATATTGATATATTCTATAATATTGTCGAACATTTTTTGTCCTATTATTAATACTTTTCGCAGCGTATACGAAGAAAGACATTTTACAGCTAAATTTTTTACGTCTTCCGTTGGTTTTAGTAAGATTTTTTATAGATGTCTATAGAAATCAAGTACTAAATATATGTTACTTGGCGATAATGTAGCTTGAAAAAAGAATGATTAAAATCGGTCCAGTACTTTTTGAGTTTATCCGTTACATACAAAAATACAAATCGCATACATTCTTGTCTTTGCCATATGAATTATTTTGACAAAGTTTGATTCTTATCAAAACGGTTCTTGTTTTAAGATTAAGTGATAGACATAGTGTAACGAACATGTTTTTAAATTATTTAAAGATTCGTTCATACGATTTTTTTGGATATCTTCAAATATTTTCGCAGCGCACGCAATGGAAATCCTAAAAGACAAATAAAGCGCTCCTTTAGTTACAGCCTTATGTTTTATAGTATAAAGCCTGCCTCAGTAGTTAGTCTGACAAACACAGAAATATTTATTCAATTCAAACTACTTTGTACCTACTTCCAGAGATAAACGCGTTTAAACAAACGTCACGGTGCGACCGATAGGAGCGGGGAAATATGGACAAAAACGGAGTTATTTAGTATATTAGTATAAATACCAACAATATATAATTATTAATATTTCAGGTTTAGGTTCCTTTTCTTGATCCTAACTTTCACATAATACTATAATCTGTATCAACCAGATGTGGGCGATTATGAATGATCGGCATAATCGATTTTTTTTGTATTACTAATGCTGGTAATCGATTATTGGATTAGTAACTAATTTGTTTTCATAATTGAATGATGTTACTAATTAGTAATACTAATAGTGCACTCCTTGACTTTAGTTGTTTAAACAATAATAGATACTTTTATATACTGGTGTAGTTTGTTTTGTTTACTACGATATTGTGAGACGTGGCGCTTTTCACCTTTTACTGAATTTATCATATTTTAAAGTAAGTGGACCGACTTTTTTTAATTCTTTCTAAAAATGTAAATATGACTTTTAGTCTTAAATAACCTTTTAATAAATAACTGTTCATTTCCTTCATGTATTACTTGACAATTTTGTATTTTTCTTTAATTCTAAAAAAAAATATATACCCTATGAAACTTTGTATTTAATCCAAAAAATATTGTTAATCATAAACCGTTTTATTTCAGACCGACTGATTTCTGAAATTGCCGCGACCATCTAAGAAGAAATTAGTAACTTATTTGGGAAACCTAAATACAAAAACAATAAAAAGCCGAAAAATATCAACAAATATTAAATATTCCTCTAGTTTTATTGTTATTATACTGTCTTCCAATAGAATATGCTCGTAATAAAAAAATAATAAAAGGGTTGCATCCGACATTATACTAAACGTGAAAGCGAGCGAGAAGCCATAGTGCGTTGTCCTAACTTAGAAGTATTAGTAACTACTAATTATCCTTCTCTATTGTAACTACTAACATTTCATTCGAATAATTGTATTAGTATATCTCATAATCGACCCACCTCTTCTTACTAGTATTATTAACTACTAACATTTCATTCGAATGATTTCATTAGTATATCTCTTAATCGTCCAACTCTACTTACTCGTACATATTAGTAACTACTAACTGCTATAATCGAGATATCTCGAGACATTTTCATAATCGAATAATTTCGTTTAGTACATCTTATAATCGCCCGCCTGTATCAACTGACAGGTTCAGGTTAATGGAATTCAGAATGTGTTGTATTTTATGATTGAAAAATAACCAAACTAAGTATTTCATTTTACACTCTACACGTGATCTAAAGCAAAAATTACATCGCTTGTGTGTGTCAAGTAAAAAGGAATTAAGAATACTACATATTTAATCGCACCTCATTTATAGTTTTGTTAGCGGCATTCAGCATTCCAATTTGTTTGAAGGGGATATTAATAATTGTTCCATAAGTACCTACGCAAATGCCTGCTATGGATTCGCAGAAGTCTGCCTTTGAAATATATAACTCCCAAAAAATAAAACCTAAAGAAATGAAAAAATCTAAAATAAAATTATCCCAAAAGTCTAAAAGTGAGGCGCCCAAATCTAAAGAAATAAACCAGGCCGTAATGAAAGAAGCCGGTATACTAATAAATAAAAATAGAAAGAATGTTAAGGAGATAAAGAATATTGCAAGAAACAAAATACATAAAAAGAAAAAGGAAATGAAACAAAGAAAAAAGAATTCCTTGAAACCACAAAATAAATTGTGTGAATACACAAAGGAAAATTCAGATATTTCACAACTAAATCCTAAACCCAACAAAGAAATTACTTGTAAATCAGTTACAACTTTTGGAATGGTAAATGATAGTGTTAACGGTATTGAAACAGATTCTGAATTTATGGTAGTACAAACTGACAGTTCTAAAGAGGGTCTAAAAATGTTTAAATGGATGATTGCACCTTACAATGTAAAGGAATTTTTCAATCAAATATGGGAAAAGAAGCCATTACATATTGCTAGAGATAATCCTATGTACTATAAAGAATTGTTAACTACATATATGATTGACAATATGCTAAGAACTGAAAATATACAGTTTACAAAAAACATTGATATAACATCATATATAGATGGAAAAAGGGAAACACACAATCCAGAAGGTAGGGCTTTTCCAAACTTAGTTTGGGATTCCTACCTTAATGGATGTAGTATCAGACTTCTGAATCCTCAAACATACATATCTAGTCTAAACTTACTTAATACTACCCTACAGGAATACTTTAGATCTTTTGTTGGTGCTAATGCTTATTTAACACCCCCTGACAGTCAAGGGTTTGCTCCACACTATGATGACATAGAAGCATTTATTCTACAAACTGAAGGGAAAAAGCAATGGCGTATTTATAAACCTAGAGAAGAAAATGAAGTATTACCGAGAACTTCATCTACAAATTTCACTGATGATGTCATAGGTGAACCTATAATGGAGGTAACTTTAAAAGCTGGTGATATGATTTATTTTCCTAGGGGATATATTCACCAAGGTGTAACTATAGATGGAGAGCATTCACTTCATGTCACAATTAGTATGTATCAAAAGCATTCATGGGCAGATTTGTTTGAAAAAATGTTACCTGCAGCTTTGGAGATGGCCATAAGTGAAGATATAGAGCTACGACGCGGTTTACCATTAGATATTTATGACAATTTTGGGTTAGTCTACTCAGATTTAAACACTTCCCGAAAACAGGCAATTGCAGACAAAATTTTAAGTTTATTTGACAAAATAAAAACAAATTTACCTATTAATGAAGCTGTTGATCAAATGGCTAAAAACTACCAAAGAGATGCATTGCCTCCAGTTTTAACAGATTCAGAAAAGACTGTAACAGTGTATGGAAACACTCATAAAATTATTAATGACGGAAAAGTAAAAGAAGGGGCTAAGATTAGTTTAGATACTAAAATTAGACTTCTTAGACGAAATATATTAAGAATGGTATCAGAAGAATCTATTAAACTTTACTATTATACTGAAAACTCTCTTGAATATCATGGAAGTGAGCTGCCATTTTTAGAAATTGATGAGGACATGGCACCAGCGATTGAAACACTTATTTTGAGATATCCAGAGTATGTTCCAGTGACAGATTTAGATGTGGAGAATAACACAGACAAACTAATTATTGCTGAAACTTTGTGGAACAGAGGTTTAATTATGACTGATTCTCCTCTGAAATAAACAACTAATTTAGTATAAGGATTTTTTGTAATTTATAACTGTCATAACACTGACTAGAAGCCATCATTTGTTTTGTACTGTACTCTGTTTTAGGAATAATAACAATACTGAAACATCATTTTGGTTTTGTACATCAGCTTATTCCTTTTTAGTATTAAAAGTTTCATATATATCAATAAAATAGTTTTTAAATATTTTGAATTTATTTGCCTTTGTTCATAGTCATTTGGCTAATAGTAAAAAAGGTGTATACAATTAGGAAGCCAGTTCTTACAGTAGAAAATTTTATTATCAAAGAATGTACAAGTAATTGAGCACCTCAATCACCTATTACACATGCAATTGCCTTATTGATTTGGCGAGTGTTATAAAATTCTATAACATAGTAAATGAAAATATTGCTTCTGGTTACCTATTCATACTTTGGATTTTGCTGTACAAGAGCAGTTATCTCAAATTTTAGTACAAATAACATCATCAAAATTATGAATCAGTTCAATTTATTCCTTTCTTCCAACTGAAATATTGTTAATCAGACAGTTCTTTAATATGGCAAGTACACCTGTCATCACCACGCTATACATACACTAACGGGTGATGATTTTTAAACAAGTATTTTTTAATATCATATAATGATAATATCTTTATAAGATAGTAAAGCTACGTGTAAATGTACTTTAAACTACTATTATTTTTCTAAAATTACTTTCCCCAATGTATGATTTTGCACTTCCTAATCAATGAATAAATGACAGAGAATACATAATATGCTGTTGTCAAATACTAATAGTGTAGTGCATTAGAATTATTTCATGTATTGTATCATAGATAAATACAGCTTTTGTTACACTTATGCCAGTATTTCTGTTGGTTGACTTTGATCCTCCATATTTGCTTTAGATGCACACTTAAAAAGTTTTTTCACTTCATTATTTAAACCCTCACGATTTCTTGCAATTTCTATAGCATAAAATTGAACTCTTGGAACTAATATTGTGTTAGATTCAGAATAATCTCCCTTTGTATCTGCCCGCATTAACGTTCCAAAACTGTAGTCTTCGACAATTGTTTTAAATTTCTCACAGAAGGCACGCCACTTGGCTTTATTAATATTATTTTTAATTTCATTTTCCTTAATGTATGAAACATTTAGTTCTGGAAAATCTTGTCTGAAAGTTGTGTAAATAAGATCATCATGAGGTGTTAACTTGAGCCATCTTGTATCCACTGAACAAAGAACCTGCAGAAATACATAATAAATGTTAATAGCATATTTTATACTATACCAATGTGCTAAATAGATTTAATTAAATACAGCAATGTTATTTACTCACATTAAAATATATATCACTGTGTTCCATTGCCCTTGTGGCCCATAGAAGCTCCAAGCTTTCATCGTTTACAAATTCCTCTGCCGGTCGCGTTAAAACATCCTATGACAAAAGCATGCAGGTAATTTTGCGAAAGCGAATTTTTAATAGCACGTAATACATTTGATCATATTAAAAACATACCATAGTTTAGGCTTTTTAAGTAGTATTTACTAGGTGTAGTTAATGGAAAAAGGATAAATGGGGATCAAAACTGACCCACGATGTTTGTTTAACCTCTGAAAGCGGTTGTTCAAAAACTATGTAAGAAAAATAGTTCTAAAAGAATTCTAACCACATTTACACAAAAGTTAACAAATTTCAATTTGGTATTCGGTACAATTTACATTACAGGTTATATATATTTTTTGGTACATATTGACTCCGGTACTTGATTTGTAGTATTGACATTTGACATATAACATATGCCAATGAAAATAATATTGTAATAAATATTATCTGTGATTCAAGCGGGCAGTACACATGTAAATAAAACATTTTTAAAGGCGAAATATGTTAGTTAAATTATGTAAAATTTACTTTAACTCATATATTTCGAGTTTTAAACCACAATAATGTTTTATTTCATTTTTGTGATACATTTCTATAATAAAAATATTAATATATTCTTAATATAATCTCTGACTAGGTTCATTAAATAAAATCTGCAGAATAGTGTTGGAACTTTGTAAGAACATTATATCATATAAAGTTAGTTGAAATTTAAAAAATATTTTTAGATATTTTATGACATCCAGTTTTACTTGAAAACCGGTAACAACTTTCGAGACATTATTAAAAACTTACATAGTTAAACACGCGTAAAATTTATATGGATTTTTAAGAAAGCGGATAATTGATAATATCACTTCATTAGCAATCCAAAGAATCTTGAGGGTTGATTTTTTCTATAGTCTGTTTAAAAAGCTAAGATCGGCTATAAGAAAGAAATAATAAATCGGCAAAAATCGTTTAAATCACGATGGACGACCAATTCTGGGATTTGATTGGAGCACGGAGCAAGGAAGGTGGCGCATGCGCGTTATGCCGACGCCATCTCTAAACTACTGTGCGTAATACTTGTTGAGAAATTTCAATGATTTAGAAGATTTAATGCCATGCAAATTCGAATTAAAAGTGATATTAGTGACTTTTTATTGTGTTCAATTATAAGTGTTTATACCAAGGTTTAAGGTTGTGTTATATGAGTCTAAATGTATGTTGACGGCGGGTATCAGTGTTGCGGAAGTCCTAGGATATAGCAACGCACTTTTATGACTATTTCCATTTACGCCTCTCACTGCCGATTCCAGTGTTTCGATGTTGATTATCGCTTATCATTTCTGGCGGATGAATATCTACAATTGGGTATTATAGATAAATTATAGTTGTGGTAAAAAAAAGCGGGCAATCGCTTCGGCGTTCTTACGCGCGTACCGCTTTGTAGGTACATAGACAACAGCTTGTGATATGTATGAATTATTGTTTTGGGTCAAAGACATATCTGAGTGTTAAGTTGTGTCAACAACATTGCAATCGTATCTTTTGTATTTTGATTTTGATTTCGAAAAATCGTGACTGCATCCTGAAATGAACTCTGCTTTAAAGCCAGTATTGCCACAACCGGGGGTGCCACAGCCGGGGGGCCAAGCTAGCCCCGCTAAAGCAAACGTTGCGAACGCTAACCATGCGGTTGGATTGCCTCAAGGTGCACAGAACTCGCTTCACCACGGCACTAACAATCTTGTAGGTCAGAACTTGACTCATCATATACCTAACCCTCCTCCAGTGCCTGCCCACGCAGTGCCGTCGATGGCGCCTGTTTCAGCAAACATGGCTCAAATGGCTCAAAACATGAGTCACCACGGCAATTTATCCCATGCTACACAAAACTCAGCAACACCAACAAATGTGGCTGCTAGTCCAAGCAAAAGTGCCACTACAAGTACTGCTCCAGCTCCATTAAGCTTAGTACAAGACAAGCCAAGCACACCCCAGCCACCTCAACCCCTTGCTTTAACAAGACCATCTGAGAAAAAGGAACCTGATTCTACAGCGCAAGCAAATGGTGCAATTGAGTCTCCAAAGTCAAGTACCAATGCTCCTGTTACACTTAAGCCTATGAATCCAGAGACAAAAGACAAGCCAGACATAGGAAAAACATCACCAAGTACTCCAAAACCTCCTGAAAAGCCTGCAAGTGCTCCAAGCACTCCTCAAAAGCCTGAAACTTCCAATTCTGCAAACCCACCAGATGCTCAAGCGCAGCCCAAGGTTGCCACAGCTAATGAACCACCAGAAAAGTCGCCTTCGAAACCTATAGAGCTTAAGCCAGCGCAGACTGCAGACATTGCTCCTATTCAGAGTGATAACAAGCCTGTACCTGAATCTGCAAGTGACAATCAGACTCAAAATGTACCAGCTCAATCCGCACCACAGAAAGACACCGTGTCAAATGAAAGTGTAAATCAAGAACCAGCAAAGTCAGATGAAATTGTGGAAAGCAAAGAAAACCCAGTCACTGAAGAAAAAAATAGTGAAAAAAAAGATATGGTAGATGCACCAAAGCCAGAAGAAAGTAAACCTGCAAAGGAGGAAAAAGTAGAAGAAAAACCAGAGACAAAAACTCCAGCAAAACCTGAGGCCAAAGTTGTTGCTAAGTCAACATTAAAATTAGCAACAGTCACACCTCCTTTAAGAAAAAGAAGACAAGTGTCAGAAAAAGTGGAAACACCTACATCCAAAAAGCCAGCAGAAGAATCAACACCAGACACAAAATCTAAAAGGAATCGCACAAAGGTAACTACAATTAAGTATTCTATCAATGCTAGTTTAATTTTTCTCTAACAGACCTGTGCCTGTAAACATTTATATCCAATCAAATTTTAAAGTTACTCAAACATTTATAACATGATGCAACTGTTATTAACAATGACAGTAAATAAATAACAAACTATTTCATACTATCAATTTCAGGTTCAACTATATCAATCCCCAACGCCAGACATTGCCATGGCAACTAAGTTATCAGCCTCTGCTGGAAGATCGACTCCAACTAAACAAAATGACGACAAACTTATTGTGTTTTATAAGTAAGTTCATGACTATTGTCCATAAATCGATATATAAATGTGTATGCCCCATGTTTATGTAGGCCTTAAAACATTTTGGCGTGAAGCAAATAGTCTTTTCACAAAATAGTAAAGAAAACTAATTTCAAATTTTCTATTAAATATTGTAAAAACATAACATAGATCATTAACACTTATATGTTAGGAAGTAAAATACTCGATACTGTTGATGCCTGTATTTAAATAAATGAAAAGACCTTATGATAAATAGTCAGTTGTCTTTCGAAGTGAAGGATAATAACTAGATTTTTTTTAATTTGACGTGTCCTATTAATAAGGATCATTTATTATGAAGAAATATAAAATCACTCTTTTATATTGGTCCTTGGTTATGTACTATGCCATAAGGTTAAATTATGATGTCTTTTTTTCATCCTTGGTGTTTATTTCTGTTGTAAAAAATATATTTACCTTCAGAAATGAATACTTGGCTGTACGGAATGCTGAAGGCGGTTTTTACGTTTGTCAAGCCTTACAAAATGTGTATCGAACGACGAGAAAAATTAAAATCCGCTGGCTGTCGCAAGACAAAGCGGATCCTACTGGTGAAACATACAAGCCTGACTTCTATGATGTCACTGGTAAGTTATTCAAGCTGTAACGTAAAGCTGTATAGCAAATACAACTTCCAAATAACTGGTTATAATGGTCAAAATATAAAATAACACATTTTCCACATATAAATATTCAAAAGTTGACATTTTGAAAATTGTCAACGTAGTTTTAAGAGTTTTGAAAACAACCCCGCTTTTATATAGACCATACATTACAGATATGGAATGTGTGCTCACAACGTTGTCTCTGACGCGATCTGCTAGTGGTGGGGGCGCGTGGCTGCTGCGGCCGGCCGAGCAGGCCCGCGCCACTTCCATCCTGCAACGAGCTCTCAAGGCTGAGCAGAGCGGTGCTAACATAGCTCTAACTGAAGAGCATCCTGATGGACGTGAGTTACTATTTAATGCTTCGCAATTAACAGGTTTAATTAAAGATTAAATATGACACAGTCAAGTCCATGTCCCGCCTGTTGTACCTTCCGCTTTTTATATAAGTAATTATGTACAGAATATGCATGTTAAAATTAAAATTACCACATTTTTTTGTGGTGGTGTGGGGCAGTTTTATACTGTAAGACTTATAGGGGATATGAGAGTTGATAAAATTTTATTTCATGGCCTAAGCGTCTTGTATATTGTTAAGTTTCCTATTTGTTATTATTAGATGAGAGTAACTAAATGTGGACTGGTGCTTTTATATGGGCTAGTAACAATCGGTAACCTACAATTAGTAATTTTAATAGTTTTTATTTTTGAGACAAAAACAAAATGGTAGCCCATATTTGGTTGCTCATTTCTATATAATGTATACTTCTTGAGTTAATTTAAATTTACATTTATTTTAACTAACAATTCTTAACACGAATAATTTACACGCACTCACACCTCATTCATTTACACACATACAATGTATTCTATCTCTCTCTCATACGTCTTACTCTTTCTCATTATGTTTTTCTTTAATTTGTTTTTACTTATAATGATTTGTGTTGGTTTCTCAAAAGATTTTAATACTTTCACTATTTCTAACTACGTATACGTGACTAACATTTTAACACCATTTTATACTTTTAACTTATATTATGTGCATTAACACGTACTAAGTTAAAAGTATTTATAAAAGACACTTTTCTTTTAGTTTGACGGTATACGTATCTTTTTATCGAGTGCAAGTGAGATGCATATCGTGGCGGTTGCTTGATAATTTTACATCGACAATCATCCAAAGTACATTTCAGAACAAAGAACAGATTTTATAGTCTCTAAAATAAGTTGTAGTTACATTATGGTACATATATTACAAAGCATAAAATAAATATTTTTGACTTTTCAACGACTATAATAACATACAATTTTTATAAAGGCTTTTGGATGTAAATAAATCAATAAAGATGGAATAAAAAATAATCTCGCCCGATGCTTCTCACCTGCTGACGCGATGTTGTTAGGAACGTGGAAAATAGTGAAATATTTAAATCTCTTTGTCAGTGGATCTCTCGCTATACACAGACGAGTCACAACTCGAGAAGAAATCGAGGAAGCGCAGCACTTCCAAGTCGTCGCCTAAATCGAAAGAAGATAATGACACATCGGTAAGCATATCAGCTATGAGCATAGATTTCAGTATTATCCAGTATGAAAAATAAAAAAAAATATCAATTTTTGTTGTTTGTCTGTCAATTTCAGATCGAAGAAGCCACACCAAGTAAAAAAGCCAGAACAACACCAAAGCGCAGTCCGCGCTCCGCCAAAAAGACGAAAAAGTCCCCAAAATCGGGCAAATCACCGACAAACAAAGCGAAATCATCAGGTAGTTCGCCCAATGTGGCGGTCACAAGCAAGGTAGGCATAGTACGGCGGATTTATAGACATGTACGTACCGCTCTCATCTCACTTACATACATTGTGCATTTGTTAACGGGTCATCACTTTAACGCGACTACGAAATTTAAAAAAAAATAACCTATCATTTTCGCTATCTTAACACTTTTTCATTAGTATATACGATTTATTCACCTTAGACTCATATATAACAGATTAGATAGATGTTCTTATATATACTAAATAGAACTTGAACAATATTATGGCGTTAAAATGGTGACCCCGTGTGTGTATGTGTGTCTGCCAGCCCTTTCGTACGGTTTGGATGTGCGATACGTCGGGCTACGTCTGTTTAGATTTGTAAAAAAAATTTTTGACAATGGTGTTACAACTCAAAATTTTAAATCGGTTTAGAAGTCTCGTACCTAGGCCATTGAATTATAAAAAAATAAATAAAAATAAAATCTTACCTTATTGAACTCTTTTCTATTAAAACTGAAAATAATGTTCATTTGTGTAGACTTCTATCGAACATTTACAAAACTAAATGTAATTTTTTATTATACAAAACCTAATTTAGAACAAATAATAAGCAACCGAAACAAATAAAAGATACAGAACAAACAATAATATAAATATCTATATACCATGAAAATAGTTAAAATACACTAATCGGGCAGTGTAAGCATAAATTTTTCTGAATTTTCAAAATTTTTTGACTGCGTATGAAGCTGGGCTTAGCCTACCAGCAAATCTTAGTTATTAAGGTGCACCCACCGTAGTATAGCGTCTATAGTAATGTCTAGAAATGCATTGAACAATTCCAGAACACCGTAAGGAACTATGAGAGGTTAAATTTTTTATAAGTCCATTTCATGAATAGTAACTTAAATAAAGATGACAATGGATGTTGAAGATTTTATATTAAACAGAAAAATTCTAAACAGACGTCGGCAGAGTTGTATGAAATAATGATAGATCTATAGAATGATGATAATAATTTGTCTGTTATCCTATTGATGCAAATGTTGCATGTTATAGTTAGAACGCGGTTCAACTTTACGTCAATATTATTTTTGGGGCGAGGTATTGTTTGATTTTTTTTTTTCACACATTCACGAAATTGAATTTCATCTAGGTTTTCAATCAATACCAAAGAGGTTTCTATGAAGTTAAAATTTAACAGATATTTACATAAATAGTTGCGTTTTTTTATGATAATTAATCTAACGAATATCATTCATTCATTCATCTGACATAGCTTGCTTGTGTGTTACTTTTGGAAAATAATTTTGTTTACATGAGTTTTTCCTTACTTTGAACATGCATGTATGTATGGCATGTTGTTATGTTTCCATGTTTATAGATATACCAATAGAAAAATGAGAATAAAAAAGGTATCTATAAATATGGAAATCATTCTGTATGTCACAAAAGCCTATTTATAACATATACTAACTCATTATTGTATATCTACAACATATACTTAAAACCTAATAAAGGAAGATGTTTTTGTCCTTTTTCTGAAAATGATTTAAAATATGTGTTAGTAAGCGCCGCTAAGACTTTAGTGACATACAATATGTAGGTAGTTTCATAAAAAGGTTATCGGAATGATACAAATTTGAACAGACGGCGACGGCGGTAACGGAAAAGAAAACTCCAGCGAAGAAAACCCCAGTTAAACCCGCAAAGAGTACACCTAAAGCCACCACGCCGAAAACGGAAACGCCGACTACCCGCAAGGGACGACGGGCAGCTAAAGGTAAACAGTTTATTCTATAAGTGTAAATTGTATGGAGTGATATATAAAACACAGCTGTGTATTTGGAGTGTCTTTCGAAACCGAATGTTTATAGCAACTTTGTTTTACATTGTATGTATAAAAAATTATAGAAACAATATTTGGTCACTCTGCTGTTGTAGATTAAATAAAATTGAAAATATAAATAACTCAAGTCATAAAATTGCAGTTAGGCTACTCTGTCTCTAGCGGCCTCATATATATAGTTCTTATTGACAATGAAATATAAACCTAATGTTGTAACTTTATGTTAACTTAGCCAAGTTTTATATTTTAAAACACTATCTTCAACATAGGTTCAAACTTACACCATATGAAAACAGTCGCTTTGTACTATTTGCGTTACTGAAAAGTCTTCTTGTAAAACAATGTTGCTGCTGACTTGTGTGTACGTAATAGTTATGTAACAACAGCAAAGATATACAACATCATCTATCGAAATACACCTTTGTCTTAAAAAACGGTACTCAAATCTTGGTACTAAACTTAAGTACGATTTTGCTCAATATGCATTACGCAAATGCAGTATTAAGCCTAGTTTGTTGTAAGGTCGTTAGTGATGTCCCTTCTAAGTTGTGTACATAACATGTAACAGAAACATGTAGCATATAGAGCCTTTCACAGCGAATATAGAATTAGCATTTTATGAATTGCATGAATTAAAAATGTTTTAAATTTGCTTTGAAAGGCTCTCCGGTCACAGATACAGCAAATGTATTACGCTTTCGTTTTGTAGTTAGAGATGTTCTGAGCTAAATGTGCGCTTTAGTTTTTTTATATATCCTCTGACTATATGATATATATGAAGGACATTCATTTAGTATATGGTCAGATTTTATTCCTCTGTGTGAGTGGGATTGTATTGCAAATTAGATTGGATTTTAGCTTAGAACATCTGTGTAGTGTAAGAGGTTCTAAGCTAAAATCATATATATGGTGTTCAATTATCCATATGTTTATGCTGTAGGGTTATAAATAACAGACAATATATTATGGCAATATTTTCTAAGCATAAGAATTGACTGAATGATGAAATGAATAAGGAAATTCATTTGTGAATGCTGAACCACGTGCGAGAGAGACAAAGATGTGCCATATCATTTTTTCTGAGTCAAAGGACAACAAATATATAGAAACCACCTATATAATCGTTTTTCTCTTTCTAATATTTTGAAGGTAACTCAGTTCCTTCTTTACAGACAGCATCTTCATAAGGATAAAACGAACACCCTATATAATTTTATGAACATTTCAGAAACAAAAAGCTCACCAATCGTTCCCACCCCTTCCACATCAACGGGTAAAACCACTCGCACACCGCGGAAACCACCCTCCAAGAAATAATATATACAAACACTTATACTATGTGTAAGCTAACGGTTTTGTCAAATCGAGAGACTGCTTGGCTCAAATGGCGGAAATTTTCTAACCAGAATACTGGTTATATGTGGTGTTCTGTGATACATTTGTTTGGAAGAATTACTTGACGAAAAAGAGAGAAACAAATAACTTCTAATATCGAAGAATAATCGAGCCATTTGAACGTCGATTAATATACAACCTTCCAATATTATTGTGCAAACAGATTCAACACTATTTGGCAAATGTTGCCACGCGAAAAGCTTCCGCCACTTAAGCCAAGCTTAATATCTGTATAACGTGCCTCTTGTTACTTAGTTTGATAATTAAGATGATGTAAGTGAACGATACGTTTACTGTATCGAACTACGAACCTTTTACACGTTCGTCAGTAGATCTATAACGCTGTTTAGCGCTTGTGTTGTCCCATACCATTATATCGGCCTAATCGGCGGACTTGACATTTCTGTTACTTCTATAGATTCCCGTGTGAATCTTATGCACTCTCTATCTGACAAAACTGTTAGTCCGTTTCATTTCACGAAATACGTTCTAATTTAAGTTAATAACTGTAATAAGTTTTACAAACGGTATATACCTTATTTGTTAAAAGAGTGTTTTTCTTTTATATTTCCAAGTAGTTTAACTTCAACCTGCATAATAATAGCGTGTAACTATTATTCTTGGGTTTCTTTTTTTCTTTATTTCATTGTTTTCTATAGAAGATAACAAAGTAGAACAATTTACATATTATCATGCATCGAAAGTACATACGCAAAGATAGAATTAATATATTCAAATGTTAAGCAATACACAAGTACTTTAGTCTTTGTCAATTCGTAAATATTTTTTATTATTAGAGTCATACGCACACGGATTCATACTGACTTCTGGCTGTGTTTACCCTTCGAGGTTCACAAATCACAGAACGCTATGAAATATCACTCGAGATAAATCACAATTTTGATTGTTCTTTTTATATAGCTAACATAGTTTTTATAATGTTGATGTAAACGTAAGATAACGAATGTTGTACATAGAATAAATGAATTAACAAGATGATATCATATATTGATAATGCTATTTGGAAGAGTGACACTATTTGCTTCATAGTTTCGTGTAGTTTCGTGAATCCTGTCACTTTTTCATTGCGCAGCGTTATATTTTGAGGTATTTTTTATCTCGGAGCGTTAAGCAATAGTTAAGTTATTTTAGGCTTAATCGAAAGAAAATTTTTGGAGTACCTATTCGACTTATTGTGACAGAAAAAATTGTATATTAGTACAAAATATCGACGAGTTGTATTATCTGTGAGACATACGGCTTACTTTGAAGTCCTGCGAGTTTGTGCAAATATAAAAATCCTGGACCAATCTGTATTTGTAATAGGTGTTGTCGACGCTAAGTGCTCGACCGAATGCCTTCAAACCTTTCGTTGGTTGAGCGTTAAGTATGTAAAGATACATATCTTTACTTTCGTATAATATATATTTTTTATTGTTTTCAGGACATAGCACACTCGATACTGTTATCGCGTCCAAAGTCTAGCAGATACTAATAGTAGCTAGTTTGCTATGGCCTTTTAGGTTTTTTTAAGATGACACATTTGTCTTATTCACAGTAACACTTTGCACAATTGTTACGTAAAATGTACTAATAATAAACACCATAGTGGTTTTATTGTTTCTTTTTATGTATGGGTTATTGTTACAACAAGCTCAGGTTGGGCATCGTGTGTGTGTGAAATGAACTTAGGTACCTAATTGTAGGTGGTATGTAATAAGTGTAATGTTTAAGATTAGTATATAAATGATTGCGAGTGTATTTTCTGTTTAAGTAAGAGCGAATGACAGGTCCCTCTGGTAAAGTAGAATGTACCTATTTAGCGTTTTATACAAAATTTCTAAAACAGAAAGTCCGCAAAATTTATATGCATAAAATAAATAAATCTAAATAACTTCTAAGAAATTAGTGGTTTCATTACTGTCCTTGTCCTACCTACCTATACCTTTGATCAAACGGTACAACCATGTGGTTACAGCTTGATTGCCTAGTTGAAGGCACGTAAAGTCGAATGATGGGATCATCGTAGTTTGAGCCAAGTAGGTAATACTGTAGGTATAGCTAAATATGTAGTTTACGCGAGTAGTACACATTAAAATAAAACACTAACGGTTTAAAACGCGATATATATAAGTTAAACTTATTTGTAAATTATTTTTAACTTCGGCCCGACGTTTCGGACGTCTTGCAGCAGCCGTGCTTAGTGTTTTATTTAAATAGGGCATAGCTATTTAAAAGATATAAATAAACAGGTACAGAACTGCATCTAGTTCCAGTGGCGAAACTATAGGGTGACAAGTTGGCAAAATGCCACGCGCCCCCAGCCCGAAGGGGCCCCCGTTCAGAGGAAATCTCAATTGCTGGTTCAGCTTCTTTATATATTGGGGAAGTAGGAGGGCCCATTCGATGAATTTGCCACGGGCCTCGAACAGTATAGTTAGGGCCACTGTCTAGTTCTGTTCTTAATTAGGATTTTAGGAATAGGAATATGTATATAAAAGACATACTGTATACTATATAACTTTATTTCAGATTAATATCGGTTACAGCTCTTGAGTCTAAAGCGGATAGTCCACCGAAGGCATTTTGTGATTTAACACTGCTATTAAATCTACTCTACAGATACTTAAATAATATCTACATACTATATTGTGACACAGTACTTGCTAGTTGTTCCAGATATTTCTTGTTTCAAACCACCAAAAACAATTTCAGCGGAAACGGGAGATTAAACGTTAAGAAAAATTCGAAAGTATTAAAAAATTTTCTTCGTTTCTGGCTGTAAGATATTATCAATAAATTGAAAGGTTTGAACAAGTAATAAAATTAATATCACAGGCACATCTAGAAATCATCCCATATTTTGTAACAGGCATAGCAAAAACTCAGTAACTTCAATAGAAAAACTGTCTCTTTATATCATTCAAGATTTTCTTTCGAGACAATAATCGTTGCTATTCTATTATTCGAAGTATAAACCTGTATTAAAATTGTCGATATGCAACGTTGTCTATAAAACGACTTGGTTCCGTATAATTTTGAAAAGATCATTTCGCTTAAGTTTATTGAATTTCTTTATAAAATGTCAGTCTTACAAGTGTCATTAATAAGCTTTTATGTGTGGTATTGAAACAGGAAGGGACGAATATTTTGAAATTAATGTAATGTGTGTGTGAACCGGACATCGTAATTATTACAAAATGAACAAGGATTTGAAAAGGTTACAGGGTTGTAAAATATTACGTATATTATTTAGGTAGCTACTGATTAAATTCAAAAGTTAACTGCGAATTTCATATCATCGATATAAGTGTAAATAGCTCTAATAGTATTATATTCGACAGATAGACACCAATTTTTATCTATTAACATTATTCTAAATAGTGTAGAATATTTTCATAACTGCTAAATATATTTTTTGCTTCAAACTTTACGATAAACATCTGATAGATATAGATATACAAGTTTCAAACACGGTTAAAAATATATATCTCGACATAATATACACTAAGACTCTGTAAAACATTGGAATTCATAATATTAATAGTGTGTTATAATATAAATATATTCTTAATTACGAGTTACAAAAATACGAATATTCTAACACCTAGATTAACTGAACGCTCATAAATCAATAATTCTGATGAGGATACAAATAAATTACAACATTCTGTTAACGAAGTTTAGACCGCGACTTTAAGATTGTCCACGATAAAAAAATAAGCCAAGTATTTGACATTGGCACTTGACATAAACATTGGCATAAAGTCAAAGTTCGCGCCACGAAAGAAGTACCACAGAGTAAAACTAAATGCCTTTTAAATCTATTAAAATTTAAAATAACCGAGTTAATTCGCCGATGTTTCGACATCGATGTGTTGTTGAAATTTTGTTAATTAAGAGATTGAATTGTGTGTTATACGAATTCAAAGGTTTGTGGTGTTTAATAAACAGCTACATTCAATATCAAAAAATACTTGTGCACAATTTTATACGATAGCACCACTGTCCCACAGGGAGTTCTTTTGCGGCGCGGACTCTTAAAGAAAACCTTGCTGGTAAATTACTGCACCCTCATGTCTCTGGCGTGAACTGGTGTTGTGTCCTCGGGGCTTGGGCTGTCATCCATATGTGGTCTGATGTGAACGACCGATCGACGCTGATCGTGGTGGTTGTAATCATCCCTCATCATCAGACCCCCCACTCCATACCCTGGACACAAACCCCCGGAGCCACTCAGACGCATCTTTTCTGGATCGTCGTCTAGTTTCATAGATGAGAATACACTGCTGAGATTGAGTTGCGGTATATCGTAGAAGACCGTTAGAGTGAGCATGAGGAATGTCAGGCCCATTAGCAGGTAAACTGTAATAGACAGAATTATATAAAATAAAGTAGTTTAATTACGTGCTTTTTTATGGAATAAACTACTGTTTGACTACTGTATGAATATGTATTCTGTTGCAAAAGTACTTACTCAAACATACAAAATTGAAAAGTCATTTAAGCGAACGGAATAACGCTTGTTATCATTGCTACATATCAATGTTACCATCGCGTAAATGTACCTAATCAAATTTAGCAAAAATAGGTTTTCAAAGGACCAATAAACTCTCAACTTACAAGTGGTAGCAACTTTATACAGCGGACGGTAAGCTTGATTCGGGGAATCGCCGGGAATGTAATCACCAAGACCGATCGTGGTGATTGATATGAAGCAGTAGTAGAAAGAGTCCAGGTAGTCCCAATCCGGTTCCAATGCAGAGAAAGCCGCCGCCGGTATCACCAGGAAGAAAATTACCAGCATTAACACTGTAATAATAATTGTATACAATGAATACCCTTTTTAATCATTAGGTACATCACTAATCAAAATGCCTACACGGCTTGTTTATTAGTCTCAAAGACATCAAAGATATTGAAACTTTGCATGACGCCAATACTTATATTGTTTAAATCGATCAGCAATAACGTAAACTAGGTTGTTTAAAAGAGTCAAAATGAGTTAAAATACTATTTTAAATTTGGCGGTTATTGAAATCTTAATATTTTTGACGTATTTTTCACTATATACATATATTAAAAATCGATTAAAGATGTTGTTTTTATACGTTAGACATTGTCTTAAGCGGCATTGAATTTATACGCAGGCGTCAATGTTGAAATTACATTGCGTGAAAAATTCGACAATGACGTGTATGACGGTAGCTCAATTGGTTGGAGCAACAGCGTGCTGTTGCCGTAGAACGCCGGAATGTCGGTTCAAGTACTGCTCGTGTCGTAAAATTGTCCATCTATAATCCATTTTTAATTTATATAGGTGGATATTGTTCCTATTAGGTTTCTGTCGTCTACGTTTTAATAACTTACCGATAATACTAAGATGCACCAGACGTATGGTAAAGGGCCGGTACAAATGTCCAAGGGAACTGTTAAGAGCTCTGAGCATAGCGGTCGCCGGTAGCAGCAGACGTTCCACCAGCGCAGAGAGGAGAACCAAGGTTAACGGAATGCCAAGCAGAGCGTACGCTATGCAGAAGAGTTTTCCAGGCTTCGACAGAGGTGTTACATGACCATAACCTGTGGGTATAATAAAAAACTTGATAACTAGCTGTGTCGTTACTTACTTCGTCCACCCAAAACAAGGGCATCGAAATTTGGTTTTGCAAACATCCTCCTTTTTTTATTAATTACAGCTGTTACTCACGATGTCGGTCGCGTCCCGTCCTTCTTGCAAGTTAATCTTAAAAGATAGATTTGCAACGAACCACAAAAATAAATCGCCATGGTTCTCCACATTTCCCGCTGTTTTTTCGCTCCTATAAGTCGAGGCGCAATATTTTTTAGCCTTCCTCGAAAAATGCTCTAGCCAACACGGAAACCAGTAGCGCGTTCAAATAAACAAACTCTTCAGCTTTATATATTAGTCTAGATAGATACATATTATTTATATCTATACATTTGCACGCACATTTTTTTTAATGTAGTAGATAATAATTACACAACAAAATAAAGATTATGCCTACAGAAGAAACGCCTAAAGTTTTCGTAAATTTTCTTATTTCAGTCTTTTAGCGGAACGAATGTTATACCTACTGAAGTGTATGTAAACACATAAAAGTATTTTTTTTACATTAATCTTCAAGTTTATTAATTAAATAAATATACATATGTAATATTAAAGTCAATATTCGATGTCTGTAGATTGTTAAATTCCTTTTCGCCGTGGGCAGACAAATTTAGATATTTGTTTTATTGATCGCTTTGTTTTACAGACAAGTAATTGATCAGACACAACCGACACTTTTATTCTTTTCTGGAATTCGAACCCAGATTTTCTCGAGCGTAACGTAACGCTTTTAACATTCACAACAAGCGCCGCGGTGGTGGTAAATGTCTGAGGTTTTCAATTTAATATAAACGTTCCAAAGGCAATCTTACAAAGCCAGCTACTGAAATATTCCAGTCAAACATCTAATTTTGGACATCGATCGATAAGAAACAAATATTTTTAGTTCCTACTGTAAATTTGTTTTCGTTACAGACTCGCAACCAGAGCCGACGTCGATTTCAATTATTTCAATAGACTTTCCCGCCTTTCATACGAAATGTTCGGAAAATTGCGGTGGGTAGGTACTAAAATATTCAGGTTGAATTATAGAACGCTCTGATATTTACATACCTACCCACCTACAAAACGTTTTGGGTAGTCTGATCCTTGTTATTTTCGTAACCACCTACAGAGTAATCTGCTATTGTATAACATTTAATTAACATTAGGTTAAGAATTACATCAGGCTTTTGAAATCCTATAGTAGACTTAAGAAGTAGAATTCCAATGTTATGTTACCACAGACCACAAATAGGAATTAATAGTAATTACCGATTGTAGTAACCACAGTTGACGCGAAGAATAGGGATTGTCCAAAGGTCCAGTTAGGACCCTGGGTTACATTTCTTGACGCTGCAACGCCCTGGTTACTGGCACCGATCACAACATCCAACAGCAATTCCAAATCAGCATCTAAAAATGAGGGTATTTTCAAATTATAACGCCATTTAAATTTGCTGCAGACCCTACAATATCAAATTATGTAAGTGGTGAATTTTTACACTGTATTAAAGAAACATTTAATACTTATGTACTTACATATTATATGAAAATATGTATCAGTTAGAAATGAGAATTTTAAGTACATTCAGAAAATGAATTTGTCTCGTGCATTTGTTTTTATTTGAACCAAATAATGACCAATTCATATCTGATAAAATATCGTGTCATGTCGATGAAGTGGCATCGAGGTCTTTAGCCCCATTACAGGGTTACTAACCGTAAATAAACATAGCTTTGTTCGGACTCACTATTAAGAACTGCCATTAATTTAACATAAAATAACCTATGGTATCATAAGCATAAGCAGTATTAAACGAAGTCGCTGTTTCTGGCCACATGTTTAAAACGCAACGGATTTAAATGCGGTTTTTAAATAGATAAAGTGATTCAAGAAGAAGTATTTAATGTACAAAGTTCACAATTCTTCTGTAGTGCAATAGGTATTAGCATTGCGCCCGAGCGAAGCCGAGGCGGGTTCCTTGTGAAATATATAATCTGTAGTTTTATGTGAATATTTTAATATTATTTTATATAATATTTAAGTTTCTTTTTTAATTAGTCTTGTACACAAATTGTGTACAACACCTTGTTTATAATTTTCGCCTAAAGTATTTAGTAGTTTAGATAATTTTCGTACTCACTTTTGCCCATCTTAAATAGGGTATTAATGCAGTGTGCAATTTGGAACTTTAGAATTAGTTCAAATAAATATTTGAAACAGTTTGGTACAGCTGATATTCAAATTACATCCCACTCCTACCCACATTATTTCTTCCAAGAAATAAAATAGCATTTTTATAGCAAATTTAAAACCTTATACAAGGACGTTTAACGAGAAAACCGTCTGCTGGCCATTCGTTACTATTTTAATTCCCCCAGTTCGTAAGATTCATGAAAAACTATTGAAGATCTCAGCACACATGACGTGTTTGCATTATTCATAGCTCTCTCTCGCTGTAAATGGATTTTGATGCAACGCAATATCGTTCTGGGTAACTGCAATTTCAAGACCCCAGATAAGATTAAAATGTGTTTAACGAAGGTGTGATCTATTTTACCTATATGCTCAGATTAAATTATTAAATGACAATAATATTAATGATTATTTATATTATTTATAATAACTATTTTCGAGAAAATCTCATGATTGAAACGAATTAAGGAGAATATCCATACTGTATGTAGTTTACACGAGTAGTGCACACTTAAATAAAACACTTTAAAGGTTTAAAACGCGATACGTACTAGTGAAACTTATTTGGAGTCTCCCCGTGACCACGGCTACTGCAAAGCATCCGAAACGTCGAGACGTAGTTAAAATAATTTCTAAATTAGTTTAACTAATATTGTATATCGCGTTTTACATTGTTAGTGTTTTATTTAGAAGATAATGTGCATATCAGATCATAAGCGGAAAAGACTCGATTTTTAATATATTATTTTTTTCGTTACTAATGTAATTCATAATATTAATTTAAACAAATTAATGCTATGGCAATTAACAGCATTATATAAATTTTTCTGTTGCAAAAATGATAAAATTATATTTAAAAAAAATATTTAATGTAATCTCTTAGTTATTAGTGCTAGAATAATTTATTATGAATGGTAAGCTATTCCCAACAAGAACTTATTCGTAGACTTGCAACGAATAGTATACCGAATACCGAATATTCGGCGAGACCCCCTGACCGAATAGTCGAATATTAGGCAAAAGTATTCGGCTGGATTTTTGCTCCAAAAACTTGTACAGACGTAATTGTTTCGCGCTCCTTTGTTTTGTTCTAACGTACTCGTTATTATTATGTACCAATTACTACTTATATGATTATAACAGAAATAAAAATATGAATATATACGTAAGCAATCGATTTTAATTTTTCATTTTACCAATTATTTCTCTATGACAAAATATATTATTTAAGTATTCGTTATTCGGCCGAATAATATGTAGATATTCGGTATTCGACCAATTAATAAAAGCGCCGAATAGGCCGAATACCGAATAGTAACCGAATATTCGTTGCAAGTCTACTTATTCGTTATTTGGAACATAAGCGGCTTATGATCTTTAGTTGTGTACCTTTACTCAAGCGGGTCTGTTGGGTTCAAGGTTTGGTTTAATTATAAATTTACCAACTTAAACGGAAAGTTTTAAGTCTAAATCCGCGCTTAGTTTATACTATAATATAATATCTTAGTACCAGCTTTCGTAAATCAGCACTTTTATAATTTAACAATTTTTCTCATAAATGCGAAGACTTCATAGTAACATATCAACATATCTAATCTCTGTGAAATTAGTTTTAAATTACAGATACTTCATAACGTTTGATAAATATTTATATACCATTAGGCATTTCCTAATAGCAACAAGAATTATTACTTCTTTACGATATTTGGAAACGATTAGCAAACTAAACTAGATAAGTAGATATACATGTACAAAGAAGAAAAAAAGATAACACGACTGATCACCATTTGCAATGTAGTAACAATTCTCTTGTACTGGCGATAAGAAAACTCCAACAAAATCTAAATAAATGCTAAACGGTTTAAAACGCGACACAAAACGTGGGGTCATAGTTGAAATAAGTTTAACTAAAGGCTTTAACTTAAAAAAATCTAAATAGTTTATTTAATCCGCCTTCCGTGGTGTTTTTTTTTATTTTTTATCAATTATTTATTTATTTTACACTTTGGTACACCAAACAGAACATACAGATACTATGCAATTTATAACTATAGAGTGTACCGGGCGGCCTTATCGCTATAAGCGATCTCTTCCAGGCAACCCGAGTAGAAAGAGACTTAACGATTAATTAAAAACTATACAGTGAGCAATTATAATCATAATTATGACTCCATATTATAAAAACACTGATAGTCTCAAGTGTATTGTAATTAACAATTTCTACAGACTATAAATAAAAGTAACAATTCCAAAATGTAGCATATTGTTGGCGCCCAATGTGTCGTTAGTATAGAATAAGTTACCTACCTACCCTACTGGTTTAGGGAGGTTTTGCGGCGCGGCAGGTAAAATCCCCTGAGGCGCGGAATGCTCGGGGCATTATAACTTTTTTAGTAACATTTGGGCTAGAGCTATTTTTGGTAATGTATTTTAATATTATATCTTCTTTTTATTTTAATTTGTGTAGTAATAGTATTCATCGTATTAATAGTTTATGGGCACTGATTTTTTCTTACTGATGTGAAGATAGGGTTTAAGAGCCACCACGATGTTCTATAGCGACCTTTTGTCACCGTTTTGCAATAACAACCGAGCTTCCACTACTTTAGATCCTCTCAGAAGCAAGGAAGTACCTCCTACTTCCAAAATTCGGCTGATGGAAGAAATAAGTGTTAATAAGTATTTAACCAATAAGGCGGAGTTTCTATATTATATATTATTACATAAGTAAAGGAAAACTATAGGTAATAAATAATGTAATTGCAATTATTAATAACGATAGCAGGGTCGCGGTTCACGCGGTTACTTTACAAAGGAACGATAACCTCTTCTCAAGTGGGGCTACAATATATCACCTAGGAGATGGACCTCTTAGTTGATATACAAATTCTAAATTACGCATAAAATGGTATAGGTAAGTTACAATAGGACACTTTTTATAGTTTAAAACAGGTTTGTAGTCATACTTTTTGCAGATACATTTAACAAGATTCAACTTTTAAATAAAACACTTTAACAGTTTAAAACGCGATATATTAGTTAAACTTATTTGAAAGTGATTTTTAACTTCGGCCCGACGTTTTGGACGCTTTGCACCAGCCGTGGTCACGGGGAGAACGAAGTTAAAAATAATTTTCAAATAAGTTTAACTAATATATCGCGTTTTAAACCGTTAAAGTGTTTTATTTAAATGTGTACTACTCGCGTAAACTATAGACAGGATTTAAGATTCAATTTATTTCATAAAGTGTAAACCCAGCAAAATCAAAAATACGACTATCTCATTTTGAACACGTCGAACACGTTTACAAAACATGTTATTTTGACACATATTACTACAGTTTATAAACTCGATTACTAAAAAAACCTTCTCTTATATCTGTCGGTGACGGCTTCTGTAGCTTATTAATAGTTAAACGTGTTGCGCGCGAGAGGTTCTGGGTTCGATTCCTGGGGAAACAAAATTGTTTCAATCGGTTTCAACAACTTGCTTGTAAATAATACCGATCCGTGAAACGGCCACAAAAATGTGCACCAAGAGGAGAAACGGGACACTTTTTCTTTTTTTATACTTATATCTGTTAGTTATTTTTCTAATTACCTAATTTTACAAACTTATAAGTCCTATTATTTAAAACCTAAATGGCCGGAATGTTTACTTATTTTATATAACGTTCTTTCAGTCATGACCCTACAAGATCGCCCACTATTACGAGTTAGTTACAAGATTATCCAATCTCACTGAAAGCTTACTGTTTATTAAACATAACATTTTCTCATCAATATCATAATATCCATATTAATTTTATGACACAAATTACGTTATTACAAAATGACGCGAGGTGATGAAATTATGTTTATTATTAAATAGATATTATTGATTTGCATTTAATAATATTTACTAATTATGCATTTAAATTACTTGATAAACAGGACATAAATATTATTGAAGCCAACAAATCACAATAGATTTAACAGAAATTCGTATAGCTAGTACCTATTTAAAACTTGTCTAACTATGCTTTTTCAATACCAAACACTCTCTTTTCTGAGTTGAATTTTTTTTCCATTTGTGGTAAGAAGATATGACTGTTTGCCAGTGTCATGTTAAAGGCTGTGGTTAAAGAGTTGAAGTTTGTAAAAATTAATCCGCATGTCAATTGTCAAATGTCAATGCAAGTTTCATTATCGAGGTGACAAATCGTTTGAAAACTTTAATATTTTTCACTTGCACATCTTCAACTATATATTATATTAAAAATCGATTATAAATTGGAAAAAAGACTTAAACCGGCATTCACAGAGTTCCGTGTTGCTCTAACGAATTGTGTTAGAGATGCCGTTTCAAGACCTGCCCGAGTCATTTTTTTTTCTTTTTATTACACTTAACAACAATTAACACTAGCCAATGCAACCTTTAACTGTAAAAGTTTATTCTGTTACATGCACATTATTTTGTCCTCGGTTCTTATGATGACAGGCCAAATACGATGTCTCCATGGTAACAGATGCATTAGAAATGGTTAGTTGCATGCCAGGAAAGTGTTAGTAAATTCTGTAGTTAGTATAGTTAAGACTTTGAATGAATGGGGTCAGGCACTCAAACTAGCAACAATAACTTATATTGTGTTGAGATTGTGAGGGGTCAACTGCATACAATTTTGAACAAGGAAACGCGGCGACACATTTATTCTATTTTATGTTTTAAGGTTACAATCTATTAGATTGTATTTTTCGCGGAATTAGAAATCAGGTCCTCTCGCACTAAACGCAACACGCTTAACCAATCTATTTAATACACGAACTTAAATTAACTATACAATACTCTATCATCCCACATATTTTAACGTATGACGTTATCTATTTTGTTTATCACAGAATTGCTTGTAGTAAATATATGTTAATAAACGGACTGACTGAAAAGTCTTTTCTATTATAACTGTTGTTGTATGATTGAATATATTATGACATACGCGATATTGTATTCTTTCCAACTTTCCAAGCTGTCAAAAACAGCTCCCGATCGAATGAAACCGTTTACTAAAAAATCAGGTTGAATGAGAACAATTTCAAAAGAAATCCTCCATTTCTTGCCATTGAAAAGCACTCTATCGAATAATAACGTTCTGACATGGGTCTCTGATTTCAACACACCTGACTTCCAAACTCAATTTTCCGAAAGTTATTTCATTTCTTAACTTATTATTGTCGGAATCCAATCATTATCTATTATTCTGATGGTGGATTCTTTGGGTATGAAAAGGGACTTTGAACTTTTAATGAAATGTGTTACTTACCAATTATTAGTGGCGTTTTAAGTAGCTTTTTAAGCTTTAACGAGCGCGACGCGACGAACATAAAACCGGTCGGATAGGTAAATTAACCTTGATACGACGGACACACATATACAGCCCAGTTTCTACAAGAATCTAAGCATTGTTAGTTTATCATTTGAATTGAAAAAATAATTATCAGTTCCAATTATAATTACACATTGTCATGAAACTTCTGACGGTTTTAACATTTTGATGGCATTCAATTCAGAAAGGGCGCTTTTTTTCAACACAGCAAAAAGGAGATCAAAATAATGTTTAAACATTATTTTAGTCTTAAGACTTAAAATACCATACTAGCCTGTAATGCATACCGATAAATGCGTGCCTCCTACAAACAGCATTTTTAATCTATGGTCGTGTTAGTAAAGTTTCTGTCTTCGAATTAATAAAATTAAAAATGCTTTCCGCTCTTAGACCGTTAAAAAATTCACTTTTATAAATACGAGCTAAGCAGACACAATCTGTTATCCTTGTCTAACAAGCGGATCATTAAAATAGCATAAGAATTATATGCATTATACGAGGAAAGATATATATAAAAGTGATATAAATCTACTTATTAAATACAGAATTATAATATTTATAAGGTTGATTTGATAGTATCATAATATGTAAATTAAACTACCTAATAAAAAGAATAATGAAGTTTTAAAAAATATATCATCTTGTGTGGTGTATATATATTAATGTGTTATTCATATAATCAGTTCTCCTTTCAGAAAATCATGGGCATTAGTATATACCTATATCCAATGATATTACTTTCGTTTCGAAGTTGTAACGTTGGTAATACGGTATCATGTTTGTAGATCGTCAATCAACAAGACTTGACGGTAGTATCACTTATCAAAGTATTAGATAAAATGTTTAACTTAGATGCGTATATAGGCACACGATGCATTTATCCAATAGATAAAAAATGAAACCGGCTTAAATAATAATTACCATGGTAACCAAAATAAAAATAATAGATATCAAATATTCATTTGAAATAAATTTAGACATTTTGAAGCAACACAATTGAAATTATGTAAAAACTATCTGTCGCTTCTTGGTAACCACCGGTTCTATTTAATTGTCATAAACTGGTTTATAGAATTATTTAAGTTTAATCTTATCTTAAGCGATTTCATCATCAATGGTATGTATGAAAATCAAAACGGTTGCACAACTTGTTAGAATTATAATTCTTATTTTCATTTTTTTGTCATAATTGGGACGCCTAGTTTCGCTCACTTGTAACTTAGTTATTAAATAGGTAAGTAGGTATTTTACAATAATTAAGCCACTTAAGTTAATAATCGCATCGCTTATAATAACAATACTTACCTACCTCCCTATTTATGTTAAAATTACTGTTGTATGTTAGAGTTCTGTGAAGTTTATGAAAAGAGAAATTTGACTTATGAGGTTCCTTACCTAAAACAGTTGGATTTTTGGTCATGAACTCTTGTTTAGCGCGAATAACTTCCAATCTGATCTGATTCTCCAATGGTGTCTCTAAAGATGAAAACACCAGCGCCCCAGAGAGCAGGTATGTCGCATAAAAAACAATGTAAATCAGCAACAAGCACGCAAATCTCGCTTTCCCGAATATTTTCGTCGTAGCGAACAGCGGCTGGAATGGTGGGTGTTCTTCTTCATACAAGATCTCTCGTTTCACAATCATCTTCTTGGGGTACGGGTATACTTGACTGTGTACGGTCATGTCATCTTCGCTTCGGTTGGAGCTCATACTACCATATGAATGTATCCGTTTATATTTATCCATTTTTGATATCGGCCAAAAATTGCCACCGCAACTAAGACGAATCACAATATAAGTCTATTCAAAACGTAAAAGTCGATTTTCAAAACACGTAAACGTTGACTGTATCTAAGGTCCGTTACTAGAAAACCTCGTAACGGCGAGAACTGCGGTCAACTGTACTTGAAGAATCTCTTGGGATGATTCGATTCGAAAAACAACGAGCAAGCTTTGTACGTAATACGAATCACTTTAGGTGTCATCTTGATACATTTTAGAATAACTACAAAACTGACTATTAATCGTTCGGGAAACACGTGACGTCTTTACCACGTCGGGTCTGTCAAGCAACTGGTCCTATGGTACAGTATTTGTGAAGTGCACATCGTAGACATAACCACAAACCAAGCGAACGTGGCGACGTCGCTAACGGCGCACGCGCATCATACGGCTTACCGCGCTTAATGCACTATTCAAAATTATGATCCGGAATGTATGTAACTTCGGTGAAATTCCGTGTCCGTGAATGAGTAAACACAGGTAAATAAATTTAATTGTATTGTTTATGTGTCCTGCTCCCCGGAATAGCGCTTACCTTACACAATGCATTGTAACATTATCTTTATTGATCAATAGTAACATGTAATATAACATAATTGTTTTGCAAAATAGTTCTTTAAAATCATATGAAAATAATGTCCGTTTTTATTATAATGAGATCGTAAATATAGTTAAAGATTTACCTACATCCATTTATTTTTATAAGTATTTAGCTACATCAATGTAATGTTAAAAATTTTAAAGCTTAAATAATTAAGTGAAAATGTTTACCAGAAATGCACGGATGGTCGTTTAGGAAGTTAGATTTAGCCCTCTGAATGTTTTCTTCCTTTGCCTTATCAGCCGGTCCTTCTATTGCTTGAAAAACCGTCGCGCCTGTAAATTTTTTATTCATTGTAACCATGACAACCACAAAATAACGAGGCTCATTACAAACCGACTAATGTAGCTATAATAAATTAGCCTTCTAGATGTACTTTGCGGTACTTTAATTTAAACATTAATTAATTCTCGCTTCAATTCGCATGACGATGATTAGATTCCCTCAGGGGCTGATTCAGCCAAATAACCATATTTAACTGTAGTAGGGGTGGGAAATTTAATAGCTTTATTAATAATAGTATTATAGCTTCAAATCGTAATCGTGTAAGCTTTTTTTATAGATTTCTAGATATACAAAAACTAAACAATAATCCAATTATAATTATAAATATATTACAAAACTTATTTTGAAGTGTGTCTCAAGGATAGGATCCTATGTAGTAATTATATATTTACGTTTTAAGCCATTTATTTTAATATGCGGTACTCGCGTAAACTACGAACAATGCTATATATCTGTAATCAATATATTATGCAGAACGATATTTTCTTTTTCAAGTTGAGAAATTGGAAGCTTAATTCTCAGTGATTTTTATAATAGTAGAGAACAAATGCGCCTGGGATTCACTTCATGTGTGTAAATACAAAATTCGATGACAACATAATTTGGCTTTAGATGTTCGTAAATTTACAGACTTAAACAGAAACGCTATTAAACTACACAGCTGGTGCATCTGTGGACCGGTACCGGTAGTGATTAGTGACCGGACGGAATTATAATATTGGTATTGAATTACCAGATTTCGGGACGACGTTCAATATGGTTAAGAAAAATTATAAAATGTTTAGAAGCATGTTTGTGTGGTAGATCGAACCCACTGCCTGTTGATTTTTGTTAGCAATACATTTCTATCAGATAAACGAGCCCGGAGAGTTGATTATATTTAGATGATTATTACGTTTCAGATTTTTTTAATACGAATAATAGAATATAAACGTCCATGCTCACCCATAGATAAGTATAAAGCCATTGCAATGATGAGGACCAACAGCCGCAGAGCAGGAACACTCCGCACATGAGTTACACACCCCGGCATCACAAGCCTCATAACTTCAAAAGACCTGGAGACAAAAAAGAAAGTTAAACTCTCATTATTCTGTAATTATTTAACACGTTTTCGACCTATGACCATTTTCGTTAAAATTCTAGGAGAACATAATCAATAATTTCGGTCGGGCAGGACACAGAAATCTGTTCGTTCTAGACATCAGATCAAAACTTTTACCAGATTCGTGACAAAAATAGTACATATTTAAATGTCCATTAGCTTTACGTAACCCTTCTTATTCTTCATTGACATTCTGTATAATATGAAATTGACATTATAAAATGTCGTCCAGTTCCTATAAACTCATAGGGTTGAATAATTTTGTATATTTTTATTCGTCTTAAGATAAATTAACACACAAAAATCTTAAATCTTTAAATATTAAAAAAAAAACAACTAGAAAACTTGTTTTTAGAAAATTACTTTTTGTTGACTCTTGCTTAACTGAAATCGATAAAGTAAATTGAGATTACACATAATAATAATTATAATTCTTAATAGAATGCGTTACCAAAATAGAATTTATGTCACACCATATTGGTCAGAGTTACGTCCGCCCAAAACTAAATATGTTCTGTTGTTATTTTTTCCTCGGGTCTTAAAAGTTTGGAGTTTGGACTTTTAAAAATATAGGCAAACCATTATCTTAAAAGTTCTGACTTTTCCGCGTAAACAACGAGCAGCGAAAATCAAAAGAATAACTGTGTGTGAGTCATTTAATTCTAAATCTATATTTTAAAACTAGGAACAATTTAATAGTCTAGTATAGAACTCGAAAAACACGTAAATTAACACTAAAGTTACGAAACAAACTTTTATCTATAGTCACGGTGCGGATTGAAAATTCAATTTGTTCGATAGTCAATCAAGCCGTGGTACGCAGGTACTTTCATTACCCAGCAAATTCAATAGCATATAGGCACAGCATACTGTATAGATATAAGTCCTTTAGATCTGCGATGAATATCGAGTGGTTTAATTGAATTGGATTCCACGCTCTCGACTCGTATATGTTACGTTATAATGAATGTACTGTGGCGTAATTATTTTATATTTTTGTAATAAGTAGTAAACAGTTTGCTGATTAACAAAGTCGTTAGAAAGAGTTAAGTTTGTAGAATCATGTTAAGGAAATTTAAAAGAAGCTATTGCTGTTACGTTTTTAGTATGTAGTTGATGTGTTTAATTTTTTTTGTGTTCAAAGTGTATGTTCTTGAGGTTATACACCAAAAGGTTTAATAAGGTCTTTGGTTGTTTATTTCAATGAGACACTTTGGCAGATTGTCTATGTTCTCTCTTAAAAATGGCGGAAGTCGTAGACGACTTCCTAATATGATTTTTTTCTTTAATGAACATATAAAACAAATTGTATCTTTAATACATTTGTTTCAATCTAATGACTTTATTAATTTCAAAGTTCATAAAGGCCATTGGGCCTTATACATAAATAATGTAGATTAGATAAAGGTGACGAACGGTTGTATGATTTATATTCTGTATTTAAGAACTTTGTAATTATATATATTAGGTGTTAGATATATTGTACACGAATAATACAATCTTTATTTACCTACTTAGGTATCATTTAATATGAATATAAATGCTTTGTTTTGAAAGATCCCATTTGCAGTAAATAGATAAGAAAGAAATTAGGTATACATCAGTTATTAAATTTCGTAATATTTATTTTAGTATATTTACAGTTCTCTCTATCTTTAATGCTGTGTTTGCTAATCTATATCCGATTTAAAAAAAGGTTATGAATATGAAGACACCGACATCTTTAGTAGCAGTATGCATTGTTAGTAATTTTTAATCTTTATATGGTAGCTTATCACGGTTGCGTGCTTATGATTTAAATTAAAAAAAATTAAAGCTTTTACGTATAAGATACTATAAACTTTCTACTTTTAAGCAATCGAATAAAACTCTAATGGACTATTTTGTTATAGGGATCCTAAATGTGATTCCTTTCACATTGCTTTTAAACGAACCGATCGCATGTCAACTAAACAAATTATTTTTGACAATTAGGGCGGCCTTACAGCTACGTTAAAAAAAATATACAAACACTATTAGTCATATCATAAGCGAATTCATTTATAAGTTATATGTTGTATACTTGTTGAAGTCTCTAGAATAGTATCAATTACTTGTAATATGGTGAGGGCAAGATGTGGCAAATGGTTTATTTATTTATTTATTGGTTTGCCCGCGTTTAAAACCCATTTATATTTTTTTTTTTTATTTTTTTTTTTTTTCTTAGGAGAAAGGAAAAAAAAATTTTTAAAATTTTTTTCCAAAAAAAAACCCCCAAAAAAAATTTTTTTTAAAAAAAACAAAAAAAAAGGGGGGGGGGGGGGGGGGGGGGGGGGGGGGGGGGGGGGGGGGGGGGATATTTTTTTGTGGGGGTGGTTTTTTTTTTTTTTTTTTTTTTTTTTTTTTTTGGGGGGGGGGGGGTTTCCCCCCCCCCTTTTTTGGGGGGGGGGGGGGGGGGGGGGGGTTTTTTTTTTTTTTTTTTTTTTGGGAAAAACCGAATATTGAAAGATTGTAAAAGAGCAGGGCTGTGTATTTGGATCTTGTGTAATTTAGATACAGATAATAAACCTTATTAACTCCCTCTTGCGCTAAAGAGATAATTTTGTTTAAAAGAGTTTAAAAAGATCTTCCACAGATAAAAAAAATTTTTTTGTGAACTTTAACTTAATAAGAATCTTCTCTTTACTCGGTCTAATTTTCACTGTCTCATGTCTAACAGTATACTAAATTAAACAGATTGAACTATTACCTGTTTTCATTTCACGAAAATAGATATTGGTCAAATACCAATAAACCCGACCTTTAACCTTTTAGACTGGTTAAAATAGAAACTAATCATCCCACACTAGACAAGAATTGGGTAAGTAGTAATTAAGGCAGTTGTTGTGTTGACTATATCGTGTCGAATATCTAATACGCGAACGAATTGTAATGGAGATGTATGTTTTTTTTATGTTGTCGACCTATTTTGGCTTTGGTTATTCGGAAATCCTC